GGATAGATAGATAGATAGATACTTACCACACATACTGAACATCCCAGCCAGAGTCCACATGACCATGCACATCCCCACAGAGCCGACACCCGCCAACACGCCTTTGGGGGTGCCGAATATACCAGGACCTGCAAGGGAAACAATATTATTCCTTGCGATAAAATTCTATTGTTTTGTTTCAGGTCTTGATTGATTACAAATGATTGTAATGTTGTTGTTTTTTGTTGTTGTTATTGGGTAAGTCTTTTACGGCACTCGCAACTGCATAAGGTCATATGAGCGCGCAGGACACATAAAACTTTTTCAGCTGGTAGTTAGGAAATGTTGAATTTTGCCCGGGTGGCAACGAAGCCTACTTTTATCGATTCTAGACCACCAAGAGATCTTAAACATGCACAACTTGCACACGGGACCTCCGAGATTTTTCGCCCTTGTCCGAGAAGGCTAGTTGTAGATGGTGTGGCTGAAAGACTGCAATAAGAAGGAGCCAAGGAGTAGCAGTAGAAAGGCTGCAGAAAGAGTCAGGAGCCCAGAGGAGGGGGCAAAGGAGGTGAGGGGGTGGGGGCAGAAAGAGGAGACGAAAGCAGACAACAGAACATTGCTAGAGAGCAGGAAAGGAGGTGAAAGGAGACAATTTTCGAGGAAAACATTTTTCCGAGAAAGTGGAGATTCGAACCCGGGACCTTTGAATGAGAGGCGGACACCTTATCCTCTAGGCCACGAGAGAACCCGATTGTAACATGTTGCGCACCCATGGCCACAATAAAGGACAACGTTTGCCAACATTTGCGGGTGCTAAATATGCCGGGACCTGGATGGGAAGAAATCACCCCTGTGTTTCAAATCAATTTTTCGTTCTTTACTTTTGTTGTTACTTTATTACAAATTAAACGATTGCAATGTGTTAAGCACCCATCAACTCAATATTATTATAGACCAGTGTTTGTCAGCCTGAGCGAAATCAGCCACCCGTTCTGGCAGTTTTGGTGGGTTTTAGGGGTCACCCGAAAAGTGAAAGGGGTTAAACTTTGCCCTTTTTGGAAATGCATGTAGGTGAGCGATACGGAAATGTCTCTTTAAAGGTGGTAAAGGTGGGCGGTGGTTATTAAAAGGTCGACAAGGACTGATTTAGATAATTGTAGATGGGAGGTAGCAAGATCGTGTGGCCTATCAAAGACCATTCTTCAGAGAACTGTGCAGGGGATGAGAAGAGAAGGATTTGAAGGGAAAGGAGAGAGAGAGAGAGAGAGAGAGAGAGAGAGAGA